AAATTATATTGGGACATACGTGTCCCTTATGCGTGAAAGGGTTAAAAGGGCAAAGTTAGAAGAATGACACTTGAGAGGTTAAGTAACTATATTCAAAAAATAAATTTCTAAGTTTCTTAAGTTTTGAAACGACACAAAAAAACGCCAAAACACGCAAACTTAATATTGAGTGGTAGATTATTGATCTGTATACAATTTTTTCAAGAGATATTTTCATTTTTATGAAAAAAATTTAAACTTTAAGGAAAAATTAAAAAAATAAACTTTTTTTTTATTTGTATTAAAGCTTGTTCTTTTACAAAGAAATTAAGCTCCTAACGATGAAAATCGATGGATAAATAAAAAAGTTGTGAATGGTCAAATGAAAATGTGCAATAATTTTTTTTGTACGAAAAAGGAGCAGATGTTACTCATACGCCATATCGTACACGATCGTAAATTTTTTAATACATACACAGTGTTAGCGGAAACACGTTTTAAAAATGCATTACTCATGGGACTCAAAAATTAACGATATTTTGTAGACACTTCACTAGAATATTGTTGTTGTGCAACTTTTTTGAATTTTTATAATTTTTGGACAAAGTGCGAAATTTAGATTTACATCGCTTTTGTAAGACACGAGTGTACAATAAAGGAATACCTGGTATTATGTGTATCATACCACGAATTTCTTTATTATATTGGAAAACTGTTTCTGTAATAACTGTAAAGAATGCTTATATTTTTAAATGGATATACTGTGAAACGGGATTTTTGCGCAATAGTATACTATTTTTTGTCCGAAAAAAGATACGAGCGTTACGTATGAGTAACTTTTTCCATGTTAGTTTGATTTTTATTTTATTTTTTTTTCATTCGCAATGCAAATTTAAAAAGAAAATATCTTGGGAAATTTACCGTATCTAGAAAAACGGTTCGCAATGCAATTTATATTTAAAATGGAACAAAAAAATGAATTTCGTACTTTTTTTGCCTTTCCAGCTAAATTCGAAATCATACCAGTCGATGAGAGTCGACGCACTGAAGTTCAGCTTCGTCGGCGTCGCGCTTATGATCGTAAAATCTCTCGACAAGCTTATCAAGTAGAAAAACGTATTGAAAGTGAAATGAAAAAGGTGTGTCACAATTTGGAACCGCCATTTATAAGGCCGAAACGTATAGGTAAATTACCACGCTTCACAATCAAAAAGAAGCCAAAGAAGAAAGTCGTTCAGGAAACACGTGTTTCTGAGCACACAAAATTCTTTTTCCGCGCCTTCAATGATGAAGGTGATGTTATGCATTTGCAAGAAGCGCGCGATAGCATCTTGGTTTTGGACACTATACAAGAGCAAATTGTACCATTCTATTTCGATCATTTCCTTAAACTGAATGGCTACACGCCGAATTATAATTTTAAAACTAATGTTGAATTACGAGATGGTCCTGAGATGTCACGTGTGACATTGCGTTCATTATTGCCAGAGATTTTGGAGAGACTTGACAAGTGGGAAGTCGGACGAAAGCGTATCATGGAGGATAACATACAACGCAATCCAAAAATGTACGAAGATGTTCAATTTTGAATTAATAGTATTAACTTACTGCGAATACATATTTTTGAAATGATTTTATACAAAATAAATAAAGGAAAAAAAATTAAACGTTAGCAATGACAAACTTACTCCTAATTAGCCTGCTTTCGAGTATAGCAGCGTTTTCAGGTTTCCTTGTTAAAACAGATCTTATATTTCCACTATTGCTTGCATCAAAAATATAATAACACTTTTGCTCATTCATTCAGCTTAAACTAAGCTTTCACTTTCTTCTGTTGAACTTCTCCTTGGTTCTTCTCTTGAGTAATCAAGTCCTTAAGTATATCTTTTTTAGCCTCAAAATAATCACGATACCAGAGAATATGCTCTTTCTTCTCTTTTGCTGTTAAATATGGATTTTTCGAAAGACCCACACACACCAGTTCCATATAATGACGAATCGGTCCCTTTTCTGGACACCATCCTTCTAAGTGCTGTTCGAGAAAAATGTGCTCAGAGAAGTCAACATTCACTTCATCGTGCAAGTCTTGCTCGTTGTCGATGGGGAAGCGCCATACTTTCCCTTGCTCTGTCCAAAGTATTAACTTTTCAAGGTAGTTTGCTGGTGGATGTGTTACTAGTAATTTTAGTTCGTTTTGCTGCAAGTGTGCCCAGGTGCTAAGCATGTCGGGCGACTCTTGTAGTTTGTCTTTATTTTTAAAAATGCCGAGTGGTTGATATCCAAACAGGTTTACGCTACCAGTGTAAGTAGCTGCTTCACGTATTCGTTCTTTACGCGCACTAGGCGGTTGTCCTTGTTGCTTCTGTTGCTTCTGCGTCTTCGCTGCTATAGCATGGCGCACAAACTCACCACGACTTTGTTCTTTGGGCTGGTTAGTACGATCGATTTTCATGCCCACAATTAGCTCGCTAAGAGGTATAATTAAACATTTTAAGCATTAAATTGCTGTTTGTTTTCATATACGTATACAATTTACCTTAAACTCAATTCGGCGACTGGTTTCTTTGGTGCATCACCACTAGTTACGCCTTCAACATTTTCTTCTTGATTATGGCCTAGCAATTTAGCTAACAACTCTGACTCGACTTGCTGTTTTTGTTCTCCATCGCCCGCTAGAGATGCTACACGCTTAGCAGCAACAAATATATCTTTAGACGCACTTTCTTGCTTCGATGCCTCTTTTCGTTTTTTATGTGCTTCTCCTGGGCGCGCTATTACATTGTTTTTATTGGTCAATGAATAGGTATTTTCTGTGGGCATGCTGGCCAACAAACGATTGAGGCGTGTGACGGCTGGCTCTTCGGCGGAGCCGCCATCGGTCGTACTTGGTGTAGACGCAGATTTCTTTTCACTTCTGTTATCATGCTTAGTTTTCGTTTGTTTTGATTTTGGTTCCTTCTCATCGTCCGACGAATCGTAATCTCTGCTGTATTTGCGTGCACCGACTACACGCGATGTGAGAACTCTGTTGGCAGGTGAGTTTATGAGACAAATTCGTACAATTATGACTTGTTATTATATACAACTTACCGTATACTCAACGAGGTAGTCCTACGCAGCAGAAGCATCATGTTTTTAATTAATTTTAACTAAATTCCTTCAGCGTAAAATTAAATTTGTTACAGCATCAACGAACTCGAAATGTCAAAAACATATGGAAATTTTCTAGTGATGTGAAAACTTCGCTTGTTGATGTAAAAAGGTAAAAATCGTTATATGTAGGTAGTGACGAACTCTCAAAAATCCCGATATATATCCTTGATCCGGATGAAAATTCTGTGGGCAAAATAATATCGCACACTTACATCTAAAGTGAGATAACTTAAAAACAAAATCCGCAAATATAACTGCTTGTGGATCGTACAGATTCAAAGCATTTAACACAAAAATAGGTATATATATATATATAATCATGAAGAAAAAAAATATTTGCATTAATTGGAGACAAGTCTTCAGAATTGTTTTATGCAAAAAAATCGTCCTGATTTTTTTTTTTAGTTGACACCATTGTGATTAGCCGAAAAAAATCATTAAAAATTACTGAAATGTTATTGTATCATTTCCTTCTTAGGGTTCGGGGTATGTGATGATCCTTGGTCGTATCTCGTCAGAACGCTCTATTAATTTAGAACCGATCATCATGAAATTTATTTTGGCAATATCATACGAGCCATTTCCGCTCAATAAATATAAAGGAGTAAGTATTTTGGAACGAATTTCCGTCATCCCTTGTCAAATTTGGTTTGGAGACAAACCGGTTTCGGCGTTGTGCTATCGTTCTCCCAAAAATGACACTGATGATGGCACAACGCCGAAACCGGTTTGTCTCCAAACAAAATTTGACAAGGGATGACGGAAATTCGTTCCAAAATACATCATGCACCCACCCTGTCGGAAACAACAACCAAAAAGGAAATAAAGGAGTAAATGATTTTGGTTCTTTTTGAGACCGTCGATTGATAAAGTAAACATTTCCAGTTGTTTCTTTAAATTATCTGTCAAATATTTTTATTATGTAGGTATCTGATTTTAAAATAAATGCTTGGCATTTGGCTCTTTCTTAAGCTTACATATGTACATATATGTAAATATGTATAGTGAATTTTTAAACAATTTTACAGTTAATTACTTTATAACAAACAAGCATCTGATATGTATAACAATATATACAAATTATTTAACGTAGGCCGCAAACGCGCTGTTTGTACGTATGTTATTATTTAGTAGCTATGTATATATAGGTACACATCTACATATGTATGTATAATTGTATGTGCATATGTTTGCACATATGTCTTTCCCCTAAACTTTTGGAAATTAATTAAATAGATAATAGTGCTGATCAGTTAGAAACACTATCAAATAGGTTATTGCTACTAATATACTACACTGCACTTTCCCATTGATTTTTTTAGCTTATTTCTATGTATGTTTATCTCTATTATCCTCAATTGCGCCAAGTAGGTATTCCATAGTAAATAGGCGAAGAATGCGTGATATATTTTCCGTGGCAGTGTAATCAATTATCGACTCGTTGTCATCTTTCGTATGCCACACGCTTGGGAATGGTATTGTTATCAGATGCAATATAGGTACGTTACGCCTTAAAAATGGTATGTGATCATCCTCAACAAATGATGACCTTAACGTGTTTGGTTGAAAATATCGATTTGGATATTGACGTGACACACCGCTGCTTATATAACGGTCCAACATATTTACATTTGAAAGACGTTCTTCCAAATCTACCAAACGTGAGTACCATGCCTCCGTGTTGGCAAAGAAATTATAAAAAGTAGGATCAGCTGAACCAATTAAATCCAAAAGTACCAACATATCTAGTGAGTTTATTGTGCCATCCTCTTCCCATCGCTTAGCCAAATGTCGTGCACCATAAATTGAATCAGTCGGACCCCATTCCTTAATAGCTTCTTCACCATCAAAGAAAATAAACATCAAACTGAGTTTTGTTTTCCGAAAGGGTTCAAGCTCTTTTTTTAATACATGTGCTAAATTAAGTAACATTGCGCATGGTACAGCAGAATCCGTTGCACCAAGAAATTCAAATTCTTCAAAATATTTGCTGTCGTAGTGACACGCAAGCACTAAGTAGCGCTCTGCATCTCGATTAAGTCTTGCTATGATATTTTTGAAATGAATTTTTCCGAGAAGTGGCACTGTCTCATGAAATTTATCAATCTCAACAGTCCAGTTAAGTGATTGCATTTCCTTTGTTATATTCTCGTGCACTAAAGCATGTCCAGGAGTGCCAACAACGCGGGGTATAAGTATATTTTTAACGGTTTTACGTAAGTGCGGTACATCCGAAAGTTGACCTAAATTTAAGAAATCCGTTTCGGATAGCTCTCCTGCGCGATACTCCATCTGAAAGCAGCAGGATGAATAAGTTAGTTTAGATTACTATGGGTAGGTTAATGATTGTTTATACTATAAAACAGATTATTACAATTTGTGATTTAGAGAATTCGGAAATTTTAATACATAAATACCTCATTCCGACCAACAAGGAAGTCGCCTTGCTTGTTTGCAAATACTGCGACGCTGAGTAGAAACAATAGTGCCAAATATGACTTTAAAAACGACATATTGCAACCTATTAATTTGTTCACGTTTCAGAGCCTATGATGTATTTTTTCCCACTGACACGGAAGCAAATCTACTGCTGAACTGGCCGGTGGGTTGTAAGTACGAGTATATGTATGCAAGCATGTACACATACACTAAACAGCCAACAAGTGGCTTCGTCGTCGTTTTTTGATGTTTATCTTACTTTAACAGGTGTTTTAGTGGCTTTTCTTTTGCTTATTTGAATGGAACCTGGTTAATTTTAGAACGAAGCTTAAATAATTTACATAATGAACGTCTTGTTGCACTGCAAAATTACTTGTAGCCGAAAAAATTTATTACTAAAGTGTTTAACACAATCAGAAAAATATTTTCTTAGGAATGGGCTTGGTCAGCAGTGCGCGATAGTCAACAATGTTTGGAACTATCGATGTAATTTTTCGTGAAGTACATGTTGAAAATTGTTAAACAGGATATCCGGCTTTGATGCCAATAATTAATAAAACAAACAGTAGCAACATGATTCAATAATCATGCAGTAGCAAGATCTGTGCGGCAATTGTTTAATAATAATTGCAAGTTAACGATGATAAAAACTATAAGGCATATTCATAGTCAAGGCAGCTTTTTGACGTAATTTTCAATGGAATATCGGCAAAAAACAAAGCAACTAACTTTAGAGTCGACTTTATTTCGACTAAGAATATGTTTATTCCACTAGCACTAGCAACAATAAGTGTTGGTAATCGCTAAATATACACTACTCTTCAAGTAAAAATTATTCCTTAAGGGATATTATTATTTATTTCGCACCTAAATTACACATACAAAGCAAACGATAAGATTTAGTGAAGCAAAATCTTCTCAAACTAACGATTTTCCAATGAAAATAGTTGAAATAAATTCTTCTTTATTATAGCAAAACATTATTCAACACTACTACCACCTGCTTATCAGCTGTTTGGAATATTTACGTTTATTTTTATTTTCCTACAAAATATTAGGATCATCGCTATTTAGAATTAATTATTTTTGAGTCTATTAATAAAATATGGGATATTGGCGACTGGTTGACTTACCAACTCATCTAATTCGAAACACGCTCCGAGATTATAGATTTTGGGCCGTTCTCTCACACCAATCGTATTGCCCAACTGCCGCAGCCATCGGTTATAAAATCGTAAATTTTTACCACGCCAAGGGAAGAACTTCATTGCATTCTTAATTAACTGCCTACTTGAATAAATAGATGAATTTTGCTATCCTAATATGAATCGCAGGCCGTGTGCGGATAGAAACACCTACACGACAATAAAAGTTCCTCCTAAACAAAATGTCAGATTGCACATTTGACGGTGTTGTCAAGCTAAATTGTATGCAAACACATGGATGTATTCATTTAGGGCAGAATATAGGAACTACGCTATAATCAGCAGGTTTTAATTTCTTATCAATATGGTTTTGCTTTGTTTGGAAGCAAGTTTTAAGGTCTAATATAAAATACCTTTCCTTATTTATGCATTATTTTATTATTATTTACAAACCGTTGTGCATTCTTTTAGTACCATGAAATGCTTCAGTAAATGCAATTTAAAATAAAAAAGTTGACGTAAATATTATTATATTCATTGTAATAAAAATGTCTATCTGTGCATTTACGTTTTATGTAGATGTACTTAGTGTAACTACCTAAATGACGGTCACATGTTCCTCTGTGCAGGTAATACTGCTTAACACCATTCTTTCGCGATCAATCACTTTTAATTATTGTTCTTAATTATGTGTCACTCAATCAACTTTTTTGTATGGCTCTGACTTCGGTTGTCCACTACCGAAATATGCACGGTATATGTAGAGACCCAGCGCTAGGTGCAGCGCCACAATAGCGCCAACGGCTGAGTATATGTTGGTCGTAATTTCAGACATTGTAAACAATCGGTCCAGCACTGCGGACTTAAGTAGAAAGAATGTTGCAACAGGCAGGAACACAATAAGCGAACAATAGAAGAATACCACTTTGAAGGCGCTGTAATCATTTGAGTCCTGTAAGGGATTGAGTAGCCCAATTAAAGCAAATCATTCCAGTTAAAATATATTAATGCACTTACATCTAATCGTTGTTGCGCGCGACTACTTGTATTATTTCCTTTTTTGTTAGCCATAATATGAGGTAAATAATTTACTTACGAATAACAAGTTTTATTTTCATGAATGCGGTGGCTAAATGCTTTTTAATGTTTTCTGATTTCTCTTTTTTCTTTATTCTCAATTGACAAATTAGGGAAACGTCACGTGATGACATTTCGCCGGTAAGCAGTTTTACAATGCACACAGCGTTGCACTTGAGCGCAATGTTATACCTTTGACGTGAATAAGTGAATTCACTACTTTGAGCAAAAAAAGTATGTAAATTAACAAATAAATTCAATAGTTGTGTTCTTTTACAAATTATCCAGTAACTTGCAAATAATTCTCCAGTAACTTGATTTCTGAGAATCCGCTCTCATAGCACAAAAGTAATAATTTGCAAGTTTTACGAACAGCTGATTAATTTGTTGTTTATTCGCAGCTAGTTCCTATTAAAACAATATATATTATATTTAAATAGGTTTGTTTTGTCAATTTCAACTATGAAAACCTCATAAACATTTCTTTTATTAGTTTTAATTCCACCCAGCAACATGCGCTCAGCTGTTTTTCTCACTTGCAAGTTCTTACTAGCAAAAATTTATCCAGTAAAAACCAGCAACTTCTCCTCAGAAAGAAATGTCCATTTGCGCTTCTCAATAGGTTTGTTCGTCGAGCAAAAAATTTGTACGAATTTGTACGAATTATCACGCTTTTTGCCCAAATCGCTTTCGTGCAGACCAAAAAATTATCCAACACTCAAAAATTGTGAGAGCAAAGTGACAGTTCTCTTGGAGAGAAGTTGCAAATTCTTGCTGGAAAAAATTTTGCCAGCAAGAATTTGCAAACACGAAAAACATGTGGTTGTGGCGCATGGTTGCATTTTTGTCTACAATAATTTGAATAAATTAGTTCGTTAAATTTGAAAATTTATAAATACGAGCGATTTTTTTATGAAAAAAGGAAGTAAATATTTGTTGATATAATTAATTTAGTTAATTCCAATGATTTGAACTTAATTCGGCTGAAAAAAATGGTATTCGCAATCGGAATGCAATTGCAACCAGAGTCGATTTAAGAAACCCGACAGCTAGTACGATGAAGAAATTGAAATGTATGTTAAAGAAAGTCAGAACAGCAAGAAATATACATGTATATCCTGTTTTTGGCCATCCGAAAGAATTTTAAAAATTCTATAAAAATTTTTTATGTTTGAAATGCAACCGTGGATGCCAGCTGGCAGCGAAACTTGCAAATTCCTGCAAATTTGCGTTCGTGCAGAAATTTGCAAGTTTCTCAACATGAGAGAGAATTTGAGAGAATTTTTTCTTACTTAGTATTGAAAACTATTATTATTTTTTTTTAATATTATATCTTATGAACTACATAATCGATAAAAAAAAGTTATGTGTCAAAATAAAGATAATTCATTTATCATGTACCTGTTTCATATTTTAAAGCCCAACATATTAGTCGCATTCGCGTACCTGTTAATTATTGAAAGTTATCAAAAATTATCGGCGGCAGTGCGCACTTCCACTCCGCGAGTCCTGGATTCATACCTGGTCAAAGAAACATCCCAAAAAAAGGTTTTTTCTTAACAGCGGTCGCCCCTCGACAGGCAATGGCAAACCTCCGAGTGTATTTCTGCCATGAAAAACAGCTTCTCTTGAAAATGCATTCGCCGTTCGAAGTTGTTGTTGTTGTGTCGTTGACGTCAAGCTCCACTAACAGCAGCCCTAGGAAGCGTGCAGCCTCGACGGGGTCTGTCCATAGGGACAGGGGCGTTAGCGTGGTGGGGTTTAGAGGGCAAGCGAAGAGATGCTGTGAGTCATAGGGCGACTCTCCACATGCCGGGCATTCGTTTGGAATATCTTCGCTTAATCTGCTCAGGTATGAGTTCAACCTGCTGCAGTAACCAGAGCGCAGTTGGGCTATTGTGGTCCGAATCTCCCGAGGCAGACGAAGTTCTGTCTCGTCCACGTCTGGTGGTTGTGTGCCCAGAACGGCATTCACAGGTCGAGAGTCTACATAACTCGAGACTGGCTCTCTGTGCATGCCGTTCAAGGCCTGTCGATAGGCTGTCGGGTCCAGAAGTTGTTTGACGAACCTCTCGACTTCGTCCGTCAGTTCGTAGAGATGCCTTCTGACGTGCCTGGGTGGGCCACATCTGTGGCTCACAACCAGGAACTCCTAAACTGGGAGCATGTGGGCCTCCTCGCGCAGGTGGTGTTCTGGCAAGTCTGCAGCTTCATCCACTGCGTCTTACTAGTCCCCGGTGACCACACTGGCGCAGCGTAGTTCAGAACCCGCCGGCCAATTGCCTTGTACGTTGCCATCAACGTTTCTTTGTCTTTGCCCCAGGTTCTGCCGGCTAGCGACTTGAGGACCTTGTTGCGCCTTTGTACTTTGTTGACAATTGCGGTTGTATGCGCCGAGAAGGAGAACAGACTATCGAGTATTACTCCGAGTATGTTCGGGTTGTTCACCGTCGAAATTGGTGTATCGTCGACGTGAATTTGACTGATGTCACATTACGGAATATCCTGGACTGGCATACCGTGCAGATTGTCGGAAGAACTAGGTGTTGTTGGCGGTGGCGTGTGGGTGGTGGTGCAGTTGTATCTGTTGTGTGGTCTGTTGTGTCTACGGTATTGTCTATTGTATGTTATTGTGGTGCGGTTGTGTTTGTGTTGAGTTGCTCAGGCGGACTCTGTTGTGCCGTGGAGGCAGCTTGATTGGCGCAGCAAGGGGCCACATTGCCTGTGAGTCGTGAGGCCTGAGTAAACTCGGAGATGGCTCCAACCATTGCATGTATTGCAGCTGACGGAGGTGGAGTTGTGGTATAATCGTCTCTGGCACACGCAGCAGGTATATGTTTCTGGTCCAGGGTTTGACTCAATGCTAGCCCTGAGCAGAAGTATGCGAAGAAGAAGTAGCCCTATGGACGTATAACTTTTGAGGGATTTCGCTGACCTAAACGGGGTTAGATCGCCGAAACAACAGCCCTTAGTAGAGGAAAACCCCTAGTCATTCCGGTATGTAGAACCGGCTGTCGTGGGAATGCCGTTCGGAGTCGGCCCCTTTGTGTAACAACATCAAGGCGCACGCCACAAATCGGAGGAGAAGCTCGGCCAAACACTAACATAAGTAAGTGTAAGTAGCAATGTACATATTATTATTATTGCGTTCGCGTACGCAAAAAACTTGCAAAGTAGGGGAAATTGAGAGAGCAAAGTGACATTCATTTTAAGAGGAAGCTGTTGTTGCCTAACCAAATAGAAGCGTCAGCGTTGTCTGGCTGTCAAAAAATTCTCATGCCCATACAATTTGTATGAAGCGTACCGAAATAACGCGGCGTCAACGCTGAGCGGTTGGAAAATCTGATTTTGACAGAGCGTTAGGAAGTGAAGTTGGCTGC